AATAGAGCTCCATTAGCAGCCAGTGGAGCTGCACTGATTTACACCAAAGGGGAGGGTTCAGGGGGACCCTCCCACTGCACGCACACACGCTTCGTCTTAATCCTACCAAACGAGTTTGGGAGGCCTGTGAAAACAATAGAAAGCCAACTTTTCGGCTGCAAGGAACACGAGATACATCTGCGTTCCGACGCTGCCAAGACTCACCCAGAGTGACTTCTTCTTTTATTAATGGCTGTATAATAAATGGTTGAAAACACAACTTTGCCATGGAAACACTGGCACAGCCTGCACACAAATGCAGAGCTAGTGGGTCCTATTTGAGCATAGGAAATGCACATCTCCCCACATAAGATTCTTGGGGGCTTGCCTGCTGGAGTGAGCTTAGCACCTTCCCGCTGTTCCTCTCGCACAGTCAGGCCTCCTGCAAATTGGGGATTCTGGTCCTGCCCTTCCAAGAAGGAACTGTGTGCCCAGACAGCCCAGCTGGTTTTACAGGACCTGTATGAAGTCCTTTGGAGCTACAGCTTGAGCAGACACGCAAATGGAGAGAGAGATGTAAGCCGCTCCCTTTCTGATCCCTCAACACTACAGAGCTATCCCCGTCACCAAATTGACTAAAGGAAGAGGTATTCCTCATCGCTATGCTGAAGAGCTAGCTGCTCTTTTATTACCAAGGGACTGGAACATACAAGCTCCGTATTACAGAATGGGGAAAAAATATACAGATATATGGGAGGAGGGAGAGAGACACACACAAAACCACAGAGAGAGCCAAGAACTGTAACTGGAGCTCAGGCAGAAACAGCACATGGGAAGCAGCAAGAGCTGCTGAGATCCCCAGGCTGTCGCAATCACGGGCAGTTGGTCACTTAGCATGGTCCCTTGTGGTCCCTGGGATGCGGGATGGCTGCGGCCAGGAGGGTCCAGCAGCCGGCACGCACGCGTGTCCCAGATCCAGACTCCTCCAGAGCTACCCGAGGTGACCGAGTATGCTGCCACCATCGGTGCAACTGGCTCTTTGGGTCCCTGGGAATGGGGCCTCACTGTTTCTTAAGCACTTCAAGCCTGGAAGCACCCATTCCTGGAAAAAGCTGGCCTGAGCCCCGTGCACAGAGCCCAGTTGGGGATTTAACGGTGGGAACGGCGCTCGCAGCACAGCCCCTCTCGTGTCTAATGCTGTCCCGGTTTACGCCACATGCTCTGGCCCCACTTACGTTCTGATCCATGGTCTCGGGGATGAACTCGCCCTCGCTGTTGATGCTCGTATAGGATCCTTGGCGAGCTATCTGCTGCTGCTCTTCAGGAACGCTGCCCGGGGGTGGAGAGCTCCGGCCGGTGTGCAGAGAGCCTGGGACACCGGAAAGACATGGGTCAAGGGGAGGACTTGCCAACATCCAAGTCTTTCCAGAGATGCTGTCCCAGTTATCACAGACCTCCTGGGAGATGCTGCTGGGTTTGAACTTGTGGAAGCGAGCGGAGGGACTAGAGCTGCGATACTGTTTATGGGCATCGCACAAAGCTTTTGCAACAGGGACAGTTTGTTACTGTGGGGTCATACAATATCCAGCAGACTTGGCCTCCAACCTGCCCTGGATCCTAAGAGCTGTGCACTGTATCCAGGTGCTCTGTTGCTACCAGAAAGAAAAAGGGCTCCAGAAGGGTGTTGTGAGAAAATCAGTAAATCTCAAAGCAAAACATGAACTCCAAACCCACCTCCCCTCTTTGACCTCTGGGCATTTCCTCCGTGGATCACGTCATTGCCTTGATCAGCAACCTGGGAAACAGCCCGAGTGAACTTGGTGCAATGTCACTTCAACACTTCTTATATGGAAAACAACTTGCACCCAAACACTCCTTTTTCCCTCCCCCTTCCCTATATGGAAAAAAAGAGGAAGGAAAGCCAGCCCGCAAAGCAAAGAATCACGGGGAAGGGAATGACCTACAGGATCAGCTTGTCCTATCTCCTACCCAGGGAAGCTGTCCCCCTCCATGCCTGCAGCTGTCAGAGCCTCCACACCAAGTAGAGCCACCTGGAAACCCCTTGGCAAGACAGCAAGGCTTTCACAGCCACCCCCCCACGGCTTGTTTAGCAGAAAGGGGTTTCTATTTTGCACTTGGGAGAGAACTCCACAGCTTCCTTATGCAGACATCCCGTTCCTCCCACTTATTCCCCCAAACCCACCCTAAGTGATTCCGTGTGCCTCTCAGGCTTCAGGGAGCACTGCCCTCGCTTGGCCCAGATGCGCAAGCTTGGCTCCACGTGCCTTTCTGCAGTTCCCCCCACTCCATCCCTGGGCTGTCATCACTTCACAGCCAGGAATTGCTGACAGAGGTTCGTGCTGGAGCTTTAACCGGTCAGCATTGTGCAACACAACACAAAAACTTGTTTTTAAGCAGGCTTCTAAAAAGCACACGTTCCTCTTACGAAGTTAGAAAAGCGCACGGAGATGCATTTCCTTATGCTTCCTATCCATTTTTGGGTCACTCTCGCCAAGTCTTTGTTTCATTACTGCCATTGGGTAACAACATGCCCAGGCTAAGCACAATATTGCAAGAGAAAGGTACCGGGAAGGGGCCTATCCCGCCGTGAGAAGTCAACACTGATCAATCAACGCAACACTTCTGCCACTATTCTGCATCACAGTTACTGTGCCAGATTGATCTCTGGCATAAATCCATCAACACTACGAATCCAAGCCCTCACCTTTCACTTAAGCTGATATGCATCAAGAGCTTCTAACGTTAATAGCGCCACACCAGCATTAAAGATCACTAAATCAGGGTTGCTGGATTTATACCAAATACACAGATATCTCTGTCCCGTGGTACATCTTCCTCCAGACTCCTTGCTCAGACTACAAAAATAAAAGTCCTACGGCTTGGAGTTACTTTTTTTCATCTTCCTATTTTCTCCTTCACAGATTTCTTGCAGGATAAGAACACAGCAAAAAAAAAGTCTAACTGAAGCAACGCCAAGATCAAGGGGAGAGGATCTCTCGAGTGCTGTGGCGTTCATAATGAACTGGCTTTCCACCAGCCCTAAAAACAAGACCAGTTGGGAAGTACAGCATCCTCTCTTTGAAGATAAATAAACAAACGTTTAACCATTTAACAGTTCGAGTGTCCTGGATAAGTCACTGCGTTATCGTCCCTGCGTTTGCATCGCAGACGTCAATCCAGAACGAAGCATAAAGACATCTGGGTGGCTCTTGCTCCAAAAAGCTGCAACCTTAGCTCTTTCGAGCATTTCTGTTAATGCTACGATGAGGTGTGGGTCTGCTCATGCCATGCTGGGATCTCTCGCTGCAAGAACCCACTCATCCCCCAGAAACAATTTGACTCGGAGTTTACAAAGAGCTGTACATGCCCTGTTTGATTTTGAGCCCAGGGAGTTAAACAAGATTTATCACAGGCATGAAGATTTTGCATGACCTCACATTAAGCCTCTGCCTGTAACAACGGCTCCCAGTCATCAGGTCAGTTGTGCTTGACCCTCCAGAGCCACATTTCCTGCCAAAAACTGTAAAAAGGGACAAGACACTGGCCGTTTCCCAGAAGGCAAGGAAGAAGTTAAACAAAACGCTCAGGCTTTTGCACGCCTGGAAACTGCTGGATTGAACCAGAACCAGATCCTTTGCAGCCAGGCTGTTTGGGTAGAAGAGCTGCATTTTACGCAGCTTCACACCTCCAGGAGGACCTGGTTGCTGCTGCTTCACGTCGATGCATGTCCATCCACCTGGGGAGGCAACACGGGGAGGCAGTGGGAGCAGAGCCCTGCAGCCCGAGGCTGATTCCATTCTCCAGCTCTATCCTGCCATGTTACCAAAATCTCAGGCAATCTCGGTGCTGCTGGGGTGGAAAATAGGGGTCAGGGAGAAAAAGCGATGGTGATACTTGATGGCAGGCTCAATTCATAGTGGGCAGGGAAAGAAAGAGACAAAAAAAACCCAGACGTGCCTGTGGGACATATCATGGAAGTTCTTCGCACTTGATCTAATGCACAAGAAACAGCAGCAGCACCAGGCAGAGAGGAGACCCCCAAGGTACTGTCCTCCTGGGCTCCACAGGATTGCATGTCAGCTCCAGTCCTCAACTCCAGTGAGGATGGGACAAGCTCTGAGGCACTTACTTTATAAAAGCCAAATTGCTGGCTGGATCTCAGCAGCTCTATTCAGGATTCTTGAACTCGGAGAAACTCTGCAGATTGGCACCGGCTGAGAATCTGACCTCGGTTACCCTTTGGAGCAAGGTGCTTTGGAAAGGGATTCCTTCTCCATGTTACACTCACTAATGTAAAGCCATATATTTAAGACTAGAGGACAGCATGTCCCAAGCAGGGTGAACCGGGCCAGCACGGAGACTTAGAGTCACTGCTGGCATCTACTGGGGTCTTTCATGTTCCCTTCTGTTATTTTTATTTAAGAAGTGTCTTTCATGCAGTATGTGCAGAGCTCACGGTGCTGCACGTACAGCCAGCTCCTCTGTGCCAGTCTCGGCTTCCCTCCGCCTCCATGCTCCCCGGCTTCACCCTTTTCCTGCCCTGACAGGTCCTTCCCAAAACTTGATCCACCCCAAGCAGGGGTCCTGACGAAGAAAAGGAGCCCCTTAAAAACTCTGAGCCCGGGAGGGTTTGTTGGCAGCTGCCTGCGCTCACAGCTGCGGCCACCGAGAGCCCAGCCCTGGGGTGATGTCGCCGCAGAGCCGAGCGAGGGACACGACGTCAAGATGTGCCATTCCTCCGAGCCCTGGCAGAAACATGGGGCTCAGGACACAGCGGCACAAGAGTAAGGGATAAACCTGCAGGAAATTTCTCACTCTGTGACCGCTGAGAGGAGATGTGAGCAGAGGGACCCAATCTCCTTCGATATCGCCTTTTTCAGTGGGAACCCTACAAGTCTCCTCCCTCTCCGTGCAGATCCTCTGAGGATGGATTCCTACATCTTTACGGCCAACTTTGGGGTATTTCTATATTAATAAGCAGGACAGAGCCTATTTTCTAGCCCTGAAGCATCTGGCATGACAGACAGCCAAATTCCCCTCCTCTTCTCAAAACAGATGGGGTCTCGTTCATCCCAACTCCTGCAACAGGTCCCTAGCCCACGCTACCCCAACTTGTACCCAACCACCGCTGGGACAGCAGTCACTGGCACAGGGTTGCCCACGGAATGTGCTAATGATTAAATAATCTCACCAACAGCCAGCCAGTGCTCGTGTCCTGGCACAGATATCACCTCCAGGCTTTTGCTTCTCAGAGTCACCTGGCCAGCTTGACCACCAGCAACCCACATCTCTCCAGAGATCTGCGTTTAAATCCTCACAGCGTGCTGGTAGGGGTTAGATGCTGCTGCAAATACGTCCAGGTACCCAAGGAAACCTGGGCATCATCACTGTGGTGGCAATTCTCCAAGGTGAAAGTCCTGCTGTTCCCGTGGCTGGTCCATATTTGACAGCCTGGACCCAGCCAGCATTTGTGCCTGGTCTGGAGAGGGCTGGCAGGCACACGATGCCACGGCTCAGCAGGCTGGTTTGCCATCGTGGAAAATAAAATAAAATTAAAACTAAATAATAATAATAATAATAAAAAGCTTTTGGCAAATGTTTCCACTGAAATGGTGACTCCGGAACAGGGCTCTTGAATAATTTGCAGATCGTGTTCCTAAACGTGTATTTCCTCAAAAGTAAATAAAAACAACCCTCGGTTATCTGAAAGTCCAGAACCCAAACAGATTTTAGCCAAAGTTTCCTGGCAGTCAGCTGAACATTAGCAGATGCTGGTCACCAAGAGACTGGAACATTTTCCACCCCTCTCCCCACCCCCCCGCAAAAAACAAGGAGGGGGTGGGATTTCCACTGAAAAAGTTTATGGGGAAAAAAAAAAAGAAAATACTAACTTTACATAAGGTTTTTCAGGGACATGGAATGAAGACATTTTCTGTCCAGCAGAAGCAAAAAATAGCCAAATCTTCCTCAGAACATCTACTCCCCTTCCAATGTGCTTGTGCCAACAACATGCAGTTTTATTATTTTTTGCTGCTGCTAACATGGCAGAGTCAGCAGAAAAACATGAGGCACCTCAGAAACACTGAGAATATGACCCTGAACCACCTTTTTCCTTTTTAAAAAGTCACTTTAAAACTCCTTCTAAATGTGGTTCCAAGAGAAAAGCTAAACTAAGACCCTCTCTTGATAGCGACCACTTTGACAACAGGAGAAGCAAACACTGTGAAACCTCTTGCAACGGCAAGCGAAGAACAGTTTCTCCTACAGAAATCCCAGCCTCTCAGGTTGCCTTTTGACTATCCACCAAGTTCAGAGAAATCCCGGGTTCAGGGAACCACAACGCAGGATCATCTCTGGCTATCGTCTGACGTTCAGCTTCACTCTCCATTTGAAACACTGCTCTCCCTTTCAGCTCACTGGAGTTTCTGCCCAGCTCCAAGATTATCCAATTCTGGCTCAGGAGATCAAAAAAATGAACTTGCTGGACTGCGAACACCTACTAAGCGGAGCTGCGGCAGCTTCACAGAGACCCAGATAACTCGAAAGAGAGGTCTGGTATGCTGTTACCACGCAGAGGTTTGTTGCAACCTCTATTCAAACCAAGAACAAGACTGATGGTCTGAAAAAAAGGCTGAGGGTTGACTAGCATGGGCTGGTTACCTTTGCTGTTGAACTATGTAACATTGCCAAGGACACCGGTGTTGGTGCACCAGCAGTCAGGATGCAGACCCTCCTGAAGATCCCAGCGTCAGCACACCCTGCGTCCTACATCTGGTGCTGCCCAGTCCTCCTCCTCGGTTACAAAGATTAAATCAGCACGTTACGCTCATTCTACCCACTCTGCTATTCAGGTGTTCCCTCAAAATCCATCTATACTTCAGGCCCTCACCCTTGAAGAGTTTGTATCTCTTAGTCTGTCTGCCTTGTCTTAGCTACGGGATGCTCCTCAAGGCAGTGACACCCCACAGTCAGTGATGCTGACCTGTCAGGAACTCTCTTGGTATTACAGCAGCTCCAAAACGTTAAGGAAAGGTCAAAGCACTGCATAACAGTTAGTAGGACAGTCAAACTTTGCAAGAACTAACCTTCTCACTAGTACAGCTACACACGGAATCCATTCTGCCCATCACATTTGGTTCGTACATCAGCGACAACTCCGAGTGCCACAGCTCTTTGGTGGCTTACGTTAACAGCTAAGTGCCAGAAAAAGAGCAGCAGAGATGTTCTGCTCAAGCATAGTTTCTGCTGAGCCTCTGTGCCTTACCACGTTATTTGTGTGTGCATTTCACTCAGGGTCATCTACTGACTCTGCCAGACTCTGGGCAAACCCTTAAGAGCTATATGAGCTAGAAAGAAAAAAAAAAAACCAATCACAATGCAACAAGACAACTCTACTAAATCCAGGCCCAAAGAAAGCTCTAGTACATGCATCACCCATTCCTGGCTTCAGTACAAGTTGGATATGGCTGCACAAGGGGCTATATTGGACCTACCCTAGAAGAAAATTTCCTCTATATCACTGTCTCAAATGCAGCAAACCACAGGCTATGCTATTAAGGCAACACAGACTATGAGACTAAGGAATAACCCTTGGAGAAAAGTACTTTTTTGTTGCACAGAGAAATTTTGGAAGTGTTTACTACCATATAGGTATAGAGGATCTTTGGAAGATGAACTATATCTTCATGTAGTATATTTGTATAGAAGGGCCTCTGATGTTGTCATGTCTGCAGGAATACTTGTATGAAAACAACAAGGAACTGTATAAATTACCCTGTAATCAGCACCCACAGACATGATAGAGAACACTCACTGTATGGCAAAATCATCAATCTTGCCTATAGTTTGCAATAGAAATAATTATACTGCTGTTATATAGTCTTATGGGCTACTTTACCATTTCCACACAAGGCACCCTGCTCTCTACAAAATCCTACAAGGCTCTTCAGGCAAAAGGTCCTACAGACACAGCTTATCAAGAGAATGCGTAATTTCAAAAAGGTCAGAATAATTTACAAAGCAAGACAAGCATCAACTCAAGCATAGAAAACCAAAGACAAGACCACATAAGGCTACGAACAGACTCCAGTCCCGGCAGGGTTGCAAGAAGGGAATGGGCATTGGCCAGTTTGGCTTCAGAGGCTCCAAGTACCTACTCCCAGCACGTCTGAAGGAAAGGGATGCTCCCCTTCATCTGAAATCCACCTGCTGCAGAACACCGCCACATCCACTCTCCTGAGAAACCACAAAAACAGCTACCACAGACTTCATGTCACCGATGTGAGTTAAAGGAATAAGTATGCCAAGGTCTCAAACAGCCTCGGCTTCCTACAGATCCTCACTCTGCACTTTGGTAAAGCTCAGTAGCATCGAATTCACTGGAGATTGTTATCACTGCATTTCTTCCCTCAAATTACAGCTCAGATCCCCTGGCCCTTCTCAGTTTTCTTGCCTAATGTGACTCTCTGTTCAGTACAACCTCGTCCAACCCGCACAGCTTGCAGAGTCCCTTCCTCAGGCTGAGGACAAGCAGCAGCTACCCTGAATAACTGGTGGGAGACATCAGGGTTGCCATCCAGACTGCGGCAGCTACAGGGCTGTGACAGAAAAGAGAAAGGGGATGGTGGCCAGCTCGTAAGCACAAAACACCCCGTGGAGTGTTGCATTTCACTGACCCGTTGAATACTTCCGCGTCCTCTCGGAGTCTTTGTACAGGGATCCCATGATATCACCCATGGATCTGGAGATCCTCATTTCGTGCTGTTTACTGTTGTTCGGCTGGAGGAGCTGGTAATCAAACAAAAGAAAAGATCAGACGTGGCCAAAGCCCTTGTGCCCATGGTGGGGGGGTTGGAACTAGATGATCCGTAAGGTCCCTTCCAACCCTGATAATTCTACGATTCTATGATTCTTGTGGACACACCATGTAAAACCCTGTATATGGCTCCCCATGACCATATTACCCAAAAAACTATTTAGAAAGAAAAAATAGACATGCACATCATCTAGAGCGATCCAAAAATCATCCTCTAGTAATTCACATCTATTATTAAAATACTCTGATAAGATTAAGCTGCAGGTATTTGACTTAAAAGACTGTTCCTGCACTACATTACTTCCTGATAGATACAGAGACTGATCCCTGGCCTGAACTCAAGTCTGCAAACCTAAAATCAGAGACTCTCCTCCATACTCCCTTGACTTCACTGTCAGCCCAGGTGACAGAGTGTCGGGGATCAGGCTCTACGAGCTAAGATAGATAAGGAAGAGAGCAGAGATGCACACCCAGCTGGTAACTTAGACAGTAGTGGCTAAGATAACATGCTACAATGCGCTGTGATTTTGTAATCTTCTTCTGTATGACCTTAGAACTGTATGTTCTTACATGCAGGAGCATGGCTACATGCTTCAGGAAGAGATAGACCTACTCTCCAAGGCACGCATGAATCTACCTGACTTCCCTCTCTTAGTAGCTGGCTTGTGACACTGCTATGTTCTCATAGTTGATCGGGTGGGACGCCCCATTTCTGTCCAGGATTTAGGAAACCCCAACTGACAGCTTAGTTTTCCCCTGGGACTCTGGCTCCTGCACTTTCTGAGAGTGTCTCAAATGCAGCAGAAAAGTTCTAAGAGCTGCGAGCACCAGCAGTAGCGTGAGGACAAGCATTACGAGTTTCAGGACTCCCAGTCTCTCCAATACTTCTAGGAAATATAAGGAAGACATGGAGTTGCAACATCTGCAAATCCCTTGCTTTACAGCCTGTGCTTGGGGCAGCACGACATGTGCTTTGGCAAGACACTCTGTGCAGGCGAGGTCAAGCTAAAGAGGCTTAACTGCAAAACCACTGAGCTCAGGAAAAACAAATAAACAAACATGGAAAAGACAGTCCTGCGTGAGACTGAAGGATTCTCCAGTTTGCTCTTTCTGGCCTTTAGTACCACACGGAGGGAACGTTCCTCATGCTGCCACCCAGCATGGCAAGGCCCAGGCCATCACCCTGTACATGGAGGAGAGGCTACAGAGGAATGGTGGCAGCAAAAAGCACAAGGGTTTCTCTGGGGGTTTAACCTTTACTGAGGATCAGCACGGTATTTAACCCTTCAGAGGATGCAGGAGGAGCTACAGGGAGCTAAGCTCAGTCCCTGGGCCGTCAACACACAAGGATTTCCGAGCAGCTGAGCCAGAGCAGGGCTGACCTCTCTTCATAACCAGGTTGCCCTCTGCTCTTCACCGTCAGAAGACTCGTTTCCACTCCCCAACACAATAACAAGGCATCTCGCTCCAGACACAAAAGAGCAGACAAGGTGAAGGACTCACATTCGCTTTCTTTGGAGCGCTCACAAGGATCCGCAGGCTCTTCAGGGAAGGGCTGAGCTCCAACTGTTCCATCGCTTTGTCCAAATCTTCCTGGGATTTCAGTGGGATCAGGAGCTGGAAGGGATTGAACAAACATCAGAGCACGGCAGTGTCACACTTCTGGGTAAACAGAGGAAGCCAGGTCCTTGCAGTGAGCAGCATGGGAATCGGGGGACGAGGGAGGAACCCGAGAAGGCGGATGAAAAACAAAGCTCCGATGCCCTCCAGCTTGCCGAGCCCTAACATTTTCTTCCAAGTTCTCATCTAGTAAGGAACAGATGCAAAAAGTCACAACAAAAACCATCTGCTAGGAGAAAGCTTAAAGGTCACATCACAAATTCAGCTAGCGGCACGAGGAGAGGGCTGAGACAAAACCTTAGGCTTTCTGCCTGCTCGTCAGGGGTTGCTCAGCTCCTGCAAGTTTGTAGGCAAGACCTGCTGTTACCCAGGCCCAAAACAGCTCCACACATTCTTCCTGGAACAATAGTTGTGCAGGGGTGCTCCAAGAAGGCAACGAGCTGCACCCCAAGGATTAACTCTGGTAGAGCCTCAGTAGCCTCCCCTACTGCTGCAACCGGTGTTCCCATGGACTGACACAGCCTCCCTAGTGTTTGAGCATCAGGTGAACGTCTCATAAATCAGAGCCTCTTCCCTTTTGATGTGAAAAGTGTGCACTGCCTTCCCTCCAAGAACCACTTCTTTGATTCCCAGCAGGACAAATTCAGCTTCTGCTCTTCATAAGGCAAATAGAGGAGAGAGCTGACACAGTGCCATGTCCACCACGCAGCTAAAGGTCCTGATGTTCTCCTGGTAAGTGGTAGACTCTTGCCCTTACATGTCCAGGGGAATTTGACCCTCCTGACATTGCTGGGTGGTGTGCCACATCCCACAGACAAGCCTGCAAAGCTTCCAATGCCCAACACAGCTGCATTTCAGAGGGGCTCTGCGGCCTTCTGCAGCCCTGCGCAAGGATTAAAACCGCAACTTTTCGCCACTCACTCAGGGGCATTCCACCTTATCTCATAAAACCCAGGCCTCAGCCTCTGTAGGTTGTCTTGGGCATCGGCACTGAACCCAGCCGACACAGCACATGCTATAGTCACGCCTGTGCCAAAATACACAGCAGTACCACCTACCAAAGGGACCGAGCGGCCACAGTTCCCAGTAGGCTCTCACTGGTCTTACTGGGAGCCACAGCTGCCCAGAACTCCTGAAAGGCAGCTCAGCCCTCTGGGTGATCGGGGGTCATGCCGTCAGCCACAGCAAAGGCAACTCGGATCAACCGCCACCGGGGACGACACTCAAAAGCTGCCTGTGTCTGCCTTTTCGATCCCAGGGTGTTGCCAAAGGTTTGGCTGTGGGCCCATAGGCAAATACACCTCAGACTGTGTGCACTGAGGCTAGGACTTTGGGGGTGACCAGGTCAAGAGAAAACTGTGAGCCCTAGCCAACAGAGATGAGGTTTCACCTCGGAAAACTGCTACAGTCACCTCCTCCACCCAAGGACCACAGCCCAGGCCTGCCAAGCTCCACCTAGGATGTCCGCATGTCACAGTGTGAGCACCTCAAGGTTTGGATTGAGTTTCTCCTCTCCTGTGTGATAGGAAGGTCATCTCCCCTTGTCATTTTGCAGACAGGGAACTGAGCCACCTATTTCATATGATAAATTTAATATTATCCTCATAGAACCATTTAGGTTGGGAAAGACCTTCAAGATCATCAAGTCCAACTGTTAACCCAGCACTGCCAAGACCACCAGCTAAACCATGTCCCTGAGCACCACACGTCCAAGTCTTTTAAATACCTCCAGGGATGGTGACTCAATCACTTCCCTGCGCAGCCTGTTCCAGTGTTTAACAACAGTGAAGTAGTTTTTCCTCATATCCAGTCTAAACTTCTCCTGGAGCAACTTGAGGCCATTTCCTCTCTTCGTAGGAGAAGAGACCAATCGCCACATCTCTACAACCTCCTTTCATGGAGTTGGAGAGAACAATAAGGTCTCCCCTGAATCTCCTTTTCTCCAGGCTGAACAACCTCAGTTCCCTCAGCACTTCTTCTAAGACTCCAGCCCCTTCACCAGCTTCGTTGCTCTTCTTTGGACCCACTTCAATGTCTTTCTTGCAGTGAGGGGCCCAAAATGTCTCACAGCTCCTGCAGCTGTGGAGAGCAGGTGGTCCTGAGCTTATATTTACTTTAGGCACTCAGCTTCAAAATATCAAAAGGCAGGTCTGCACGGGGGCACCGCACTAGCTAATTTTAATGCAACTTGTCATTCTATGATTCTGCAGAACTTAAGAGTCCCAAATTTGACACCTAGGATCTCTACAGCTTGCTTGGGAGAGTCAGATATCCAGAAACGGGATGAACAGGTGAGGAAAGGAAGCTGCCAGGTGTAATTGCTGGAAGCAGTGGCAATTGCTGAGGAAAGAGAAGGCCAGTTATCAAAAGATATTTAAGCAATGTACTCCAGGACTTGAGCTAGGAGTGCTTTTGTGGTGTGATGTATGCAAAAATGGTTGAGAAATTTCTACAAAGAGGTAGAAAAAGAGACTCTAGAGCAAAGCACATTCTCCCAAGAAGAGGGATAATCAGGCTGTGCACTCTTTGTCTGAAAACTACTTAGTTATTTACGTGTAGGAAAAAAATTCCAAGAGGAACTTTTGAGAAAGTCTTGCTTCACGGTATCTTAGAGGCTGTAGGGGCTTGAGTTCTCAACCAGACCAGACGGGGAAAAGGTCAGGAAGATGTCCCTTACCTCCCAAGCAAGGGACCTAATCAGGTGGCAGCAGAGTTTACAGAGAACACCAACATCAGTCTTGTTCCGAACCTCACAAGCAAGGCTGGAAATAGATTCCCAGTCCAGGACAGGGCTTGGACATGAATGAAAGGAAAGTATTCACCAGGTAGATGTCCATTATTCAGGGCTTTCAGTCGGTCCATGGACTAAATGGTTAGATCATGGTACATGGTTAAACTTTTGGACCCAAATGAATCACAGCAGGTACCAGACAAAGATGGTACCAAACATGTCTCCCAAGTGCTCTGTAGCTGTTCTCAGACCGTCTGCTTCCTTAGGCAGTAGAGCTGAAGAGATGTTCTCTGCTTAACCCTCTTGGAGCTCAGAAAGGACAAGCTTTCTCTCCTACACTCGCCCAAACAGAAATGAGAATAGTGGAGAGCTGCTCCGCCCTGCTTCACCACCAAGCAGAATTTGGCTCTGAACAGTAAGTATAGTCACTCCCACTGCTCACCCATCCCTTTAACTGAGCTCCTCACGAGTGCTCAGAGCAATCCTTCAGCTGCTGTTTTGAACAGAATGTTCTGCAGGTCACTCCATCTCACTCCAGTATCACAACATTAACATTTTGCATGCCTGCTACAGAGAAGCCAAAAACATCAGGCAGAAATTGCCCTGCTGTAAAAGGGACTGGAGCCAGTATTTAGCTTGGCTTCACCTATTACCCACATCTGGCAAGTAGATTTTGCTCTGTTTGGCTTCCAGACTGTGGCACACATGGATATCAGGAACACATCTCTGTTAGACATCAAACTAAATGGAGATTCATGCAGAACCACAGAATTGCCAGGGTGCATTTCCAGGAACTGAGTATATTCTGTCCACAGAGTGACCAGCTGTGATGAACAGCAAAGTTTACCTACACAGAAGTTTCACTAAGTAGAGACTTTCCTCTTGCTTTTAAATAGTATACTCCCCTCGAGCCTAATCATTTAGTATGGGACTTGGTAGTTGATCCACTGCTGTCTATGAAAGTGAGTGCAAAGGGTGAGTTTTCACTGACTACAACAGTATTTCTAGACCTCACTCTGCAAGACACTGCAGAAAGCCAAAGAATAGTAGGAAACGGGGTTGGGGAAAAATCTGAGAGGTCAATTAGTTCATCTTCCTGCCCACTGCAGGACCCACTGGCATCAACAATTCTTGACAAATGCATGTTAAATACGCTTTTATCTCCTCCCCCCTGTAACAGAGCTTCTATCACTTCCCTGGGCTTTAACTCTCCCTGACCTTCTGAAACGATGCTGCGGGACAGTCTCAGAAGAGACAAGCAAGGGGAGGTCAGAGGGAACTGGTGACGCACTGAGGTTCAGCGCTTTGCCCAAGGTCCCATCACAAGCTGGCCAGGGAGGTGGGACAAATGACAAGGTAAGATCCAGTCACACCTGGAGCAGCTGTTTAGCAGTGTGTAAAGATGAAATTCAGACAGAGGACCTGAAGCAGGAGCCAGTCTTTCAATCCGTAACACAGCCAACTGTCTAACAACCATGCCGTGCTGTCTGTGGCTAGGCTAGATTTTGCTGTCAGAAAGATGAGCCCAGCCTAGACCTAACTTGTAGACGTGCCCTGGTACACCCATGGCCAGGCCCTGCTCTTATCTGTACCAGCCCAAGTCCACTGATTCCACGGTGCCACCAGGATGTGATTCATGCGTGCCCCTGCTCCACCCAGCTCATCTCGCTGAGCTTGGCTTCAGGACTCCTGCTTCACCAGGAGAGGGACTGTCCCTTAGAGAGATTTTGCAGGGGGCTCTTGGCCTCAGTGTGAGTTTGGTCTACAAAATGTTACTGCAAGAGAAACACCTGATAGCAACAACAAACTACTGCACAGTTCCCTTTGAGCATGAAAAGGGTGAAGTATTTAACTGTAATGAGTCTGTAGTCTGGCAGTAACGGGTCTTGCAGTCTTGAGACTCGAAAATCTGACCCAAAACACCCAAGGAGCCAGATGCTGGGGTGCTACTACATGGCCACAGAGGCTATCTCTCCCCAAAGGTCACTGTTGTCTGTTTATAGTGTTTCCACAATAACAACCCTGAATTACGACTGCTCAGACCTCTTCCCAAAGGTGTGGGTTCTCATAAGGAGGAACTTTTACATATAGAAAAATAAAACACTAAAGTCATCCTCAACTCTACGAAGTTAGGAGCACCCAAAAGGCCTGCTCATGGTCCTGCTATGTGCTGTGCACACGCCTAGGAAGACAGTCTTTAACATGGGATAAAATGCATTATTTAAGCTTTGTTTGCTTTTGTTGGGAAAAAAAAAAAAAATCCTCTTCCAGTGGAAAGAAACCTGGAATGAAATGAGTCATTCCTGGAGAATTCAATGGCAGGCTTTTCCCGGGAGGGCTGTCAGAGAATGTCCCAGATTAGAAACTTGACTGTATTCAAAGCCAAAACCCAGAGGACACTTTGGTAGCATGAGGTACGTATTATAAAAGAATAGCAACATTTTTTGTGGAGCAAATTTCCCTTGAAACAGAAGGGAGGATAAAAAAAGAAAAAACAAGAGAAAGTTCTCTTCACGACCTTTCTCTCTATTCATACTTCAATGAAAGGCTGTTAGTCACTTGTAATTAATACTTGAACAAGCAAGCTGTCAGGACAGATCCAAAGGAATTTGTGTTTAGAAGCTCACCTATTTGTCAGCTGGCCCTCTCCTCCTTCCCAAAGCCAAACCCATACTGAGAATCCAGTGGCTCTGGAGCCTAGCCTAGCTCATGGCAAGATGCCTCACTTAGCACCCCAAAACAGATGCCAGGGGTTGTCCCCTTTTAGGTGAAAGCTCTCATCAGTACCCTCATTTCAGACACAGCACGGGGCTCAAAAGAAAATGTTGGAAAACCACAGTGAAGAAGGTTGAAGGAAAATCTTCAAGCCTTAAAATGCCAGGATCGCAGAGGGAAGGTTTCTTCGCTGCTTGTATGTGGCCACAGGATCCTCTAAGAGGAATCTTCAGTGATGCACATTTCACTGCACACCTAACCACGAGAACATGCACGTGGTTCCAGGGGTTCGGGGTGAGGCAAAGCCAGCGCTAGATGAAAGTACGCTGTGTTAGCAGCACTGCTCCTCGTGCTCTGGACTTCACCATGCTCCTGCAACTGCCCCCAAGGTGGGAAGGCTTCACGTGCAACCCAAACCCACAGTGGCCTGCGGTCACTTCACAGGGCTCTCCGAAAAGCCACTTGGGTATCAGCCGTTCTCCTCTCAGCAGCCAGACACACTCTGGGAGTTGGTCTTATTGCCCTAAGGGCGTTCCACCCGACAATGTCTCCACCATCCCAGTCACTTCATTTCTCCCCGTTTGAGGGGTGTATTTTGTTCTGGGGGAAAGACAATGTTTCTATGTCACCATTTAAACAGGCCTCGAAGTAATTTTGAGACGGGAAAAGCCTGGCTTGGAGTCAGAGAATCTAAGTGAGCTGTGTCCAGACAACAGCTCTTGCAGGCTCACTTAGCTGTGAACCACAAAATAAGACTCTTTTCACCGTATCTGTGTACAAAACTAAATCAAGCCCTGAAGAACAAACCACTGCTCAATCCTGAAGCGGGCACCAGGCACCCTAAAAGTCCCCCTTACCAATAAGGAGAACAATACCTCATTGTTCACACAGACTAAGTCCATCGTCTGTCCAAAAGCATCCGTGACCTTCTGCACCACTTCTTTGAATTTGACTGGTCTTGGAAACTGGATAATCCTGTATACACAAACAAATGCAACAATAGTCTGAATTTAGTAGAAGCATACTGGAATTTGGGATTAGACTGACAATTCAGAAGAAAGGACCTGCATTCTTCCATCACGAAGCATAAAGCTTGCTCCTTGCTTTTACTTTCATAGAAGTGCTGCTCACGTGCTTGACCTACCCTGCAAGAATATCTACCAAAAATCCTAGAGCTCCTCTGTTCTGCCCTCTCCTGTGAGGTACTGGTGGAAAAGAGGAAAGTCCTCACTGCAGAAGACCCAGAAGGCACTGGTCAGTGATTTATCATCTCTGTTTTCTGCAAGAGGCTCTGAATAGGGATGAGGGGTGGAAGAGAGAGCGATGGAAGTCGGCATCGTGTGACTCTCCTGTGCCATCACATGCAGCAGCTCTGTAGGTACGTATCAGCAGGTACACTCTAGCTCTACAGTAGCATTACTTAAATTTTCTTTGGCTTTAACATGCAGCTTGAACCATAAGCCTGCGAATTTCCAGCTCCGTGTCCTGCCCCGCCACAGTCACCAAGCGGAGGTGATTCCATGAAAATGTCAAGCAGGGAAGGGCGGGCAAGCTTTAACTCCCAGCTCTATTTTTATGGGACCCATGCCCAAAATCTGGTTATCTTAAGTGTCATAGGCTGCTAATCAAGGGACATATTTCTGTAGAGTTGCAGCTTAGCTGTGGCTCAGCAGGGCTTAAGAATTAAAAAGAGAAAAGGATCCAAGCGTGCACCCTATGTCCCTAGTCAGAGGCGTTTAATGACTTCCAGCTTGGAATCACTTTGCCTGCGTGCAAATTCCAGGAAGTACTTGTGGCAAATGGGATGACGAGACAAGGCTCTTGCATATAAAATTGCAGTTGATTTTGGGGGAATGAATCCTGCTGTGAGCTCATCTGCAGCTGGCTGAAGTCAGTAGGACAATGTTGGGTAAAAAATGTAATTTATTCCTGTGCATTTGGGGGACTAGGCTGGGCACATACCTTTTCTCTCCTTCATATTCAAACTTGATCCTGATATTTCGCTGCTGAAAGAAAAAGGAGAGAGTGGTTAGGTCCAAAACTGCACCCCAGATTGACTCACAGATCCAAAGCTTCCAGGAGCTCTCAGAGAGACTCCCCTAACTCCAATGGGTGTCTGGTCTATCTAGGTCTATCTAAGCTGCCTGCTGGACTCGTGGACTTTGGTGAAATTCCACGTTGTTAATAAATGCACTTGTCAGAAAATAATGTTTTATGTAAACAAGAGGACACTCACTTGTCTGTATAACTGTTAGTTTTAATAAAACACATTCAAAAAAGTGGCAAATTGTGAATGCTCTGAACTCACTTGGGAACAAGGCACTACTACCAAAGAAGCAAACGTGTTCAGCGTCTGAAGTCTGTTCATCTTCAGCACTTCCCATGGATTTACCCCAGTATTTGCCTGTTGGAAGCCCATAAAGAAAAGCTCACAGGATGTTTAACAGAACACAGAATATTTGGGGCAATGAAATAACAAGTAAAAGCAAGCATCCTGTAACGGAAGTGGAGAGATGGTCTTGGATTTTAAAAGCCAACAGTGCTGGGGTGGGGATGGCTGTTATTTTCTTAGGACCTTTAAAACAGAAAGTGTATCAGGCATCACTACAGTATACAGAGTAAATTCCCATCCTGACCCTCTGTTTACCTCAAGAGAAATCACTGAATTTGCCCAAAGAAGAGCCAGAGGAGTCACAGGCAGAGTGGGCACACAACTGTGCAGGGACTAGTAAAAGCCACTTCTCCTATCCTCTGTTTGAGTGTATTTAGCAGCAACCAAGAGCACAAGGAGCCTTTTCATCCATTCAACTTCTCAGACCGAGCCTGAGCGGAGCATCCCTCTAGCATCCCCTGGCTCATTCCAGGACTTTCTGACGGTCTCCAAGACAGATCAAAAACCTCCTTTACTTTCCAGACTAACTTTAATCACCACAGTGAACCAGGGCTGTCCCTGTTAATGCACACAAGCCTCCTCAAACAGTAATTTCCTTCCCATGGAGGAAAAAAACGCTTGCCCTTTCCCTTGGATGGGTAAAACCAGGGAGGGCTGGGTCCCGTGCCACCAGCATCTCGCAGGCATAATCCCCGAATGGGTGGGTGACAGCCCTTCCTGAGCAAGGGCCTTATCTTTAATTCTGGATTGCCGGCGCGTGAAGGCACACTTTCCATCCTCTCAGAGGGAAAGCAGAGCCACAGTGAAACAGCTTTGTTTCTAATGAGGAAAATGAGCTGGACAGGCATCCTTAGGTTTATTTTTAAACTGAGAGCTCCTCGAGTTCTGCTAACACCCACTGAAGTCCAGGAAGTCAAACCTGGAGGCGATTCGGTTGAAAAGCTTTAAAAAAAACCCCAACCAAACCAAAAGATTCAGGGTAAACACGTTGGATCATCCAAAATGCATCATCTTTATCTCTGCTCATGGCATTTTCTGTATTTCCAGAAAGGCTGGGAAGAACCAGTGCCAGGACAGTCACCAAAGCGGGGCAATCCAGCAGTGTTACACGCCCGTGCTAATCGAGCACTTACATCACCTCGATGTCTACAGTCAGTTCTTCAGACCCATAACATTTGGACAAACTCCAAGGTTGTTTCCAGAACCAGACTCAACTTGTAAAAATACCAAACTAACTCTAAACGAGTCCAAAATTCAAAAGGAGAAGAGACGATGACCACAACCAACCCAGCGCTGAAGGTCCAAATCATACTAGAGAGACAGGCAAGTACGGGTGGGATTCTCTCTACTGGAAAAGAAAAAAAAATAAATGGGCTCTTTTATGTAAATTTTTATTTGCATGTGCCTCTCTGAACAGGGCCTGGCTGGTTCATCTCTCCTGACAGTAAATGAGCTGGCGTGGGTTCATTGCGTGTAGCTCCGCAAAGCCCTTCTCTGAAGTAAGAGGAAAAAAAATCAAGGCAAGGCACTTTCGAGGTTTCTCCTTACAAAGGAGCAGGACGTGTAAAAGGAAAAGCTCACGCAGCTCTGGCCTCGCTGCAGGAAACCTTTCAAAACACAGGTTTCACTTTCAGGGCAGGCCCGAACGCCACACCGAGCTGGGACATAGCACACGGCTGCCTGTTTATGCTGAGCAACACAAATTTCACAGACAAATAAGTTGGGAAAAACAGCTTGTGGCTGGAAAATGTCAAAACATTCATATAAAGCTCCAGAGACAGAAGAAAAGGGGAAAAAAAAAAAGAGCCACGACCCCGCTGCATCCTTTTCTTCTACATCAACAACAGGGCTGATGTGCTGTGGCCCAAAGCCAACAGAAGTAAGGCAGCTGCCCCACGCTGCTCCGCTCTACTTCTGAGCAGAGCAACAAACACATCAGCTGTAATAGGGGAACTGAAACCCCACTCCACTTGTTAATTAGATTTTTATTTCTTTTTCTGGTAAAAAAACTTTTGCCTCCCTCAGAAATCAAGAGCATAAGCTCCCAAGCATTTGAAAGAAGGATAAATAGATATTATGTATAGTCTGAAGCTGGTTATGGTTGTATTTTTCAGTCTTCCCCTGGCTTGCTCATGTTTTCGATGCGCAGCTAAAGCTGAATTCACCGCTGCTACCAGCAACAAATACTTCTTTCCTATTTAAATAGTGGGCAGTGCCCAAAGCACTAGGAAATCCCGAGGGGATGCAGAGCTCTTCCTAAATGCCAGAGCAGGCTGTGATTTTTTACACCCATGGAAATTTGGTTAGGAGCAACTGGTTTGAGATTACGCAGGGAGCCTGGGGCACTGCCAAGTGCTGGAGAAAGATATCACACAAGTCTGGACCCAGTGTCTCAAATGCACAAACAAGGGGAAGGCAGGATCAGCATCTTCTTTGTAAGGACCTCAACACGACATGCAAATGCTCGAGGGTTGGTAACGGAAGAGGTGCAGGTGGAGGAAAGCGTCAGGTCCTACTCACTTGTGCAATTTAGTGAGGAAGGAGGACCTCAGCACTTCCTCCTTCCACAACTCAAGTCGTGCTATTTACCCTCCCTGCCAGGAGGTTAAAGGCAGCCTTGTTCTCCCCTCAGTCAAGATGTCTTTAGTTGGTGTAGGGGAACAAGCGGAGACATGCAAGAAAGGAACACGTTAAATACAGTGGAGGAGAGGGGTAAGGCAATGCCACAAGGCACCAGTTGAAACACTAAGCTCTGGCAAAGGATTTCAGAGATGGTTTCACAGAGCACGGTGAAAGCTGAGGCATGTTACAGAGGAAGCAGGGGAAACTGAGGCATGAAGGCAACAAGGTGCTTTGCCTAAAGGTGTGAAGAAAAAGCCGAGCCTGGAGAAGAGAAAGCTCCTGGAAGATCTTCTTTCAGCCTGCCAATATATAAAGGGGTTTTGCAAGATGGAGAAAGACTTTTTACCAGGTCCTGTAGTGACAGGACAAGGGACAACAGTTTTAAACCACAAAAGGCTAGATTTAGGAAGAAAATTTTTATTATGACATTGGTGAGACACTGGCACAGGTTGCCCAGAGAAGTTGTGGATGTCCCATCCCTGGAAGTGTTCACGGCCAGGTTGGATGGGGCTTTGAGCAACCTGGTCTAGGGAAGGATGTCCCTGCCTAGAGCAGGGGGGCTGGACTAGATGACCTTTAGAAGTCCTTCCCAAGTCAAACCATTTTGCGAATTGTTCTGTGAAGCGGAGTGGCAGAACCAAGCACAAAACTCAGACGTCTGATCGCCTGGGTTGTATGTACCAAGTAACTTTCCCTCTCCACGTGCATTTTCCGTCCAACGCCGGGCACGGAGGAGCCCGCATCTCGGCTGGCGCCTGTTGGCCCTGCTGCGACACAAACAAAACAAGCGACAACCCTGACAGGAAATACCACAGTAATTCCCTTCGTTTCTGGAATAATTTCTTCTCCAAGATACTTGTGCCGGCATTTCCTCCAGCCCTGCTAACAAATGGTATTTTACTTTTTCTTGCCATCTGCCTTGGAAAGGAAAAAGCAAAGCCACCGCAGCCACCACAAGCCCTTCACCATCTTTCCAGGCTTTCCTTTAGGTATTTTTAGTTTCTTCCTCAAAACTTTTAATTTCACGAAAAACCCACAACCGCCAAGCTTCAGAGGAAGTGCTGACAGGAATTGGGGAGGGGGGCGAAAAGGGGACAATCGCTTCTACCCTCTTGCTTGGGGACCACGCACCCCAGTGGGCTCAGCTCAGCCAAGCTCAGCCTCTGGAGCTGGAGCAAGCAGTCCTGCACGCTGGTTTAAATTAAGGAAAAGGTTGGGAAAAGGGAAAAAAAAATATGGAAAAAGCGTTTCCAAATGAGGTGAATCATGATCTTGTACAGAGATCCCTGAAGAGCTAACTGCTGTTTGTAATAAAAGCACACACAGAGAGCAGGGAAACATGCTGTTAGACCTAAAATGGAAGAGATGTGAGAAGAACAGAAGGTGCTGAGCACCCTCACTGGGAACACCCAGAGAGCCCATCAGACTGGGGTACAGGCCCAAGCTGAGCAATGCCATGCTCACAGAGAAGGGCATCCTCACCTCCTCCCAAACTCAGCCATGACCAGAAACGGTGTTCTGGTCAGACTGCAGCTCTGTGACTTGCTTTTAAAGCTGCTCTTGTCAAATCCAGCCAGAGGACAGCTTTGCCCATGGCAAGACACCAGAGGGACACAGCCTTTGGATCACTCCTTCCATACAAATCCATGGTTGCCTCACAAACCACCTGGGACAAAGCCTCCAAACTCCAGCATTAACCCTCCTGAGGTCAAGAAAGTAAGAAAATAATAAAAATTTTAAAATATCACAAGGAGCCTCCCCTCCCCTTCAGCACTGCACCGAGAGGGGCTCATTCCAGCTTTGCTCTTATTCACCCACAAGACATTGAGCAGTCTCGCCCACGGGTAAAATAGGGGCAATGAAAGAGACTCATTTCTGCATGCTGGAGAGGAAGCAGTGGGATTACATTCACTTCTCTCATTCGCTACTCGTTGGATTAAGAAACCATGAGAAAACCCCGCTGAGCAGCGCGGCGCTCAAGCACTAGTGCTC